TTTGTACTCTTCAGCCGAAGTATGAGTACGGCTGAAGAGTGGTTGGCTGGAATAATCCAACTCTTAGTACTCTTCAGCCGAAGTATGAGTACGGCTGAAGAGTGGTTGGCTGGAATAATCCAACTCTTAGTACTCTTCAGCCGAAGTATGAGTACGGCTGAAGAGTGGTTGGCTGGAATAATCCAACTCTTAGTACTCTTCAGCCGAAGTATGAGTACGGCTGAAGAGTGGTTGGCTGGAATAATCCAACTCTTAGTACTCTTCAGCCGAAGTATGAGTACGGCTGAAGAGTGGTTGGCTGGAATAATCCAACTCTTAGTACTCTTCAGCCGAAGTATGAGTACGGCTGAAGAGTGGTTGGCTGGAATAATCCAACTCTTAGTACTCTTCAGCCGAAGTATGAGTACGGCTGAAGAGTGGTTGGCTGGAATAATCCAACTCTTAGTACTCTTCAGCCGAAGTATGAGTACGGCTGAAGAGTGGTTGGCTGGAATAATCCAACTCTTAGTACTCTTCAGCCGAAGTATGAGTACGGCTGAAGAGTGGTTGGCTGGAATAATCCAACTCTTAGTACTCTTCAGCCGAAGTATGAGTACGGCTGAAGAGTGGTTGGCTGGAATAATCCAACTCTTAGTACTCTTCAGCCGAAGTATGAGTACGGCTGAAGAGTGGTTGGCTGGAATAATCCAACTCTTAGTACTCTTCAGCCGAAGTATGAGTACGGCTGAAGAGTGGTTGGCTGGAATAATCCAACTCTTAGTACTCTTCAGCCGAAGTATGAGTACGGCTGAAGAGTGGTTGGCTGGAATAAACCAACTCTTGGTACTCTTCAGCCGAAGTAAGGGTACGACTGAAAAGTGGTTGGCTGGAATAAACCAACTCTTAGTACTCTTCAGCTGAAGTATGAGTACGGCTGAAGAGTGGTTGACTGGAATAAGCCAACTCTTGGTACTCTTCAGCCGAAGTATGGGTATGGCTGAAGAGTGGTTGGCTACAAAACAAACTCTGTATACCCCTCAGCCGAAGTAAATATATCGGCTAAGGAGTGGTTGGCTGGTAAGCATAGTTTAACCAGCTAAAACCGGAATAAGAGTTCAAACAAAATTTTCATTCAAAACATTACAAATGCAAGCACACGAATCAAAACCGGAATAAGAGTTCAAGCAAAATTTTCATTCATTGAAAAGCCACTACAAAGAATGGGCATAGCCCGGTTACAAGGACAAAAAATAAAAAAAGAGAAAAAGTACATAATCAAGAGAAAAGTTCTTCAATTTCGGCATCAAAAGCTGCATCAGCATCAGAACGAAGACCGGTTTCAGGAGCTCGCTCGCTCTCGGTTGCCAGGGTGGTTTCGGTTGGAACCACGGTTTCATCTGGTAGTTCATTAGTCAGGTCTTCCACCGTAGGCTCCAACCGAACTGACAGGTCCGCACTAACAACCGGAGTATCTTCAGAGATAGAATCTTCATCAGAATCTGAGTCTCCAAGAAACTGCTCTTGCATGGCATTAGCATATTCCACAAAGGAGCTCGGTATGAAGTAGGCTGGAGGGTTGAAAACCTCGGTCTGTGGATCGTGACCGAGCTTCTCAACAGCCGCCCTCCAGCCGCACTTGAAGAACAGCTCCTTGGCAGCATCGCAGGTTGTCCAACTATGAAGCATGGGTACTTTGAAAAGCATGCCGTATCCGTACCGGGTACTTACTGGCATATGGTACGTCGTATGGTACTTTTGCATACGTACCGGGTACTCGAAACATGTATTCAAATTTTTTCTTAATTTTTTGGCGTACCTAGACGTACCGAGTATATACCTAAGTCGTACCGTACTTCAGTTGAAACAATATTTTCTTCTACTAAAAAGATAAAACTTCTTTCACTAGATTTCTTTTTTATTTTTTTGTTTTATGCTTAGTATGATTTTAAAATTAAACTATGATTTGTAAGTTATTTAATATGTTGATATTTAATTTTGATTTATACCTTTACTTTTGACATTAAATGTTAATTGTAGGTTAGACCTTAGCAAATTAAACCAAACCAAACAAAATCTTAAATCCCATCAAATGGGGTCGGCTACCTTAACAAATTAAACCATTTAATTAATTTTTGCATTACTCTAAATTAAAAATAAATATTTTTTTACAAGCGTACCAAGCTGTACCCGTATCCATATCCTTTTTTTTTTTAATTTTACTGTATTGACGTATTCGTATTGTACCAATACCAGTACTCATAACCGTACCAGTACCTGTGCATCATAGTTGTCCAATGAATTCTAATCACAAAACTGCTGATATTATTTGCTGTCTAATCACAAAACTGCTTATATTATTCGCTGCATTGCAATGGACCATGGGGTTACCTAGAAGCCTTGATGCCTTGGCTGTCAAGGGCTGAACTAACATGTCCGAGGGTTGACCATCAACGTGTGTTTACTCAAGTGAATTTAGAGTCAGCCTATAGTTTGGTTACTTGTTAGTTATGAAACTATGTCTCCTCTCTCTCACTTGATGAGGCATTGACATCAATTGGTGGTGTTTTTTGCAGGTAGGAACAATTGATAGCGTGATGGGACTCCCCAAAACTCTTGTGGAGAGACTGATAATGGAGGTTCTCTAGTGTAGCTTGGAATTTTACCTGATCAAACGTCTTCAAGGCAGGGCCTCTTGGACTTCATTTATCCACCTGTCGAAGAAATTTGATTTAATTTACCTGGCATTTGGTTGTTGGATTCAAGGCTTAGAATTTTCAGTTGCACTTGGTTGTTGGGAAAGAATTAACTGTAAAGGTTGAGTATGTAATCTTAAGTTCAACGCTTCGAATTTTCAGTTGCATTTTTAGGTAGGTTGGTAAGGTGATTTACATGCATCCAACATAAAACAGGTAGAGGAGGGGGCTATGCTTTCTGCATTTTCTACTTCAATACATTTCCCCAGAATTGGTGAATGTTAAATCATTAGGATTATGTTTGGATCATAGATTTGGATAGTGTTTTGAAAAGGAAAAGGAGAAAAGGTAAGTGAAATATAATTATATCTATTGCCTTTTTCCCTTCCCTTTCTTAATTTTGACTCAAATCTATGATCCAAACACAAGAGTTTTAGGTTGTGTTTAGATATTGGATTTATAGAGAAATTTATGAAAGGAAAGAAGACGCGGCGTACGATAAGCCATGGCTCTGTTTGGTGCCCGTTTATAGGGATTTTTTATTTTTAAGTTGAGTGAGAGTTTGTGTCAGAATGATTGGTGAAATTTTTTCTTAAAATTTTGATTATTTGAAAGTTGGAAATAGGTGCTTTTAGTTTCACTTTTCTATAAGTTATTTTTTACTTGAAAGAAGGTATGACTAATAATGCTTTGCGTGGGGTTAGTTACTTTTTTTTTGTCCCTATTGGGTTTGTGTTATATTGGTTTTTAATATTTAAACTCTGTTAATTTAGTTTTTAATGTATAAAAAATGTTTTCATTTTATTTCCTAACCTAACTCTATTTGTAGATGCTTTTAAAATTAGGGGTAAATATGAAATTTAATTAAAAAACTACTTTTGTAATCCCCAGACTAGGAGATTTGTGTTATTTTCAATTTTAATGTTTAGATCATATCAATTTAGTTTTTATTGTACAAAAAGTGTTTCAATTTGATCTTTTATTTGATTTTGTCTCGTTGTTTGAACCAAGAATGAAATTATAAACATATATTAGTAAAAAGTGAAAAAAATTTCTAAATTAAAAGACAATTTTTTTTATGATAAAAACATCAACAAAAAAATTGTCTACGTCAAATTATAAACATGTATTAGTAAAAAGTGCAAAAATTCTAAATTAAAAGACAACTTTTTTGTGAGAAAAACGATCAACAAAAAAATTAGCCACGGGGAAAGTATGCTTTGAGTAACAATTTATATTCGGGTCTATTATACTAATTTTTCTTGAAATTTGAAGCAAATATAGTAAGTTTTATAATTTTAACATAATTATATATTATTCCTTTTAAATTTTGTTAGTGTATTTAGATTAAAAAAATGATATTGTCATTTTTTTTTATAGAAAAATGTATATTTTATTACATTGTTTATTTTTGTATTTTTGCACTATCTACATTAGTTTCGGTCTATTTAATTTTATTGCAAGGTAGATCAATATAATTATGTAAAAATTATAGGATTTATTATATTTTTTTTTCAAATCTCAAAAATATCAATGTAATTTATTTATTTATTTTTTATTTGGTATTGCGAAAATCACATTTCTCTTTGTAGTTATCAAAATGGGGATGGCTTTTCTGATTTTCTACCTTTACTCGACCAGATAAGGATACAAAACTAGATTGAGAATCAAATCAAAATATTAGATAATGTATGAAACACATGACACACTGATTGATTTATTTAAGAAAATAATATGCGTTATTAATTTTTTAAAATAATACCTTTTTCCTGGTGATCTCATTTGCAATTTCTCTCTTATTTTAGTAACAAAATGTAAACTGATTTATCAAATATGGGCATTATTGCTTTAAAATTTTAATAAAATGTGTCACGTGTTTTATAAATGATCTATTTCTGTGTAAATTCATAATAGAATCATAACAAAAAGGGTTAATTGTAACAATAAAATACTTTGAGATTGTTAACTGTTGAATTTTATAATCTAGGACAACAAATTGTAAATAAATCATAATTTAAGAGGGTTTACTGCAATTTACCCAACATTTTTCATGTCTAAAATTAAATTAACACAATTTAAATTTTAGAGTACAAATTACACTAATTGTATAATTTGGTGACAAAAGGAGTAATTTTAATTGAAATTTCACAATTACTCTATGCTTTAACAATTCCGACTTACCTTAGGAGCTGCTTTCAATTATTGGATAGTTTGTGTTCGGAAATTGATGCCATTGTTAGTAGATATTGGTGGGGTCAAAGGGCGGATAAGCAGAAGATTCATTGGAAAAAAGGAGATTTTTTGTGTTCACAGAAGAGAGTGGGAGGTATGGTTTTCAGGTGCTTAAAGGATTTTAATGTTGCAATGCTTGCTAAGCAAGGATGGTGGCTTCTAAAGTATCCGAATAATCTACTGGGTTAGCTATTGAAAGCAAAGTATTTCCCACAAACTTCTTTTCTGAAGGCAGAAGTTGATACAAACCCGTCTTATATGTGGAGGAGCATAATCCATTCTCAGCCCTCTATTGGCAGTAGTGGTTTGCTGGAGGGTTGGATGTGGTGAGAGTATTCGGATTGTTGGTGATAGATGGATTCCTAGGCCTATTGTGTTCCAGGTAATTGCTCCACCAACTAATTTGTCTGCTGATTCTAATGTGAGTTTGTGTTAGGATTGTGAGACACTAGAAATCAATTACACACAGATAACACAAGAGATTTAACATGGTTCGGCCTTAAAGTCTACGTCCACGGGAGAGTAACCGATTATCACTATAACAATGGAGAGATTACAAAAAGATTACAATAGAGGAAGAGCTCACACCATCCTCGCTCATTCACTCACCCGTCTCCCTCTCTCACATAGAGAGAGACGGTCTCTTTGCCTCATATCTCTCACTCTCTATTGGTTTGCTCACTATCTTTGGTTTTCTCTCTCAATTCAACCCCTCCTTCTCACCTCAATTTATACACAATTGAGGGATATTCTGATTGGTCACCACCTACCCCTTCCACTAGCTCCATCCACTAGCTAATGGGATAAGTGGAGTGGGAGAACCACCTTCAAGCTAATGGAGGAAGTGGGTTCTCTATTGGAGCTCCTCACACGGGGTGAGATATGAGATATCCAACAAATCACCCCCTCAACCCATGTGAGGTGATCCACTGTACACACTGCTGCTAATCTTGTTACACCCAAATTTCAACATAGTCTGCATCTCCTCATTGAGACGTTTGTATCCCCTGAAGCTAGAGACAACACACCAGAGATACAAGAAGAGGGGGGAATCCTACATCCTCAACTCAACTCACACCACTCTTTGATTTGGAGAGAGCCTCTGCTCCTATCTCCCACAGATCTCTTCCATGCTTCCTGTATCGGATGTCTTCACCTACTATGCTTGAACTTGCATAACCAAGATATCCTGCACCCTTTGATTGAGATGCCCAGCACCCCCTGCCCGAGATGCCTTGCACTCCTTTGAGTGCTCTGTGACACTACAGTTCTTCACTGATTTATTTGTTTTCCTAAATTAAATTGGTTTAGTTGATTTGGAGTTCCAACATTCCATACTAAATTCGTGAATTTTTAAGTTTAAAAATTAAAAAAAAAAATTCATGATTTATCATTTCCAATTCCATATGATTTAGAAAAAGAAGAATGAAAAAGATCTTTCTTGTGCATTTTTTCTCTAACCAATTCTTTCTCTTATCCAAAAATCTTAACTATCATACATTACACATTCTCCAAGTCATTTATGTCATCCTCATTATATATATATATATATATATATGAAACAATTGAATATTAGTTTATATTTAGTTTCTTGCATTCTTTAAACAAATTCTTTCATCCTTTAAGTACACCATTTTTTTTTCTTTTTTTTACTTCTGCCCACCTTTTTTTTTGTTTTTTGTGCATTTCATATATATATATATATATCATTTCAAAAATGTTTGAGGGCCCGAAATCCCGTTGGCTCGAAACCCAAAACAACGTCGTTTTGGGTTTCATTTTTTTTTTTGTCTTTTCTTTTCTTTCTTTCTTTCTTTCTTTCTTTCCTTTTCTTTCTTTTTGTTGTTGCTTTTGAATACAGAGGAAGAGAGGAGAGGAGAGAGAGAGAGAGAGAGAGAGAGAGAGAGAGAGAAGAGAAGAGGAAGAGAGAAGAAGGGGAAAAGACGGTGATGGCTTCGACGGTGATGGCGGTGATTGCCGGTGGCTATCACCGATCGCCACTCGCCAGTCTATTTTTTTTTTTTTCTGGATCTGGAGCGAAAAATGAAGGGAGGAAAAAAAAAATTTGTTGGCTGTTGGCTGTGTTGATGAAGATGTTGATAATGAAGATGTTGTTGATGAAGATGTTGATTTTTTTTTTTTTTTTTTTCTACTGGATCTAAATCTAAAGATGAGGGGGAAAAAATAAAAATTGTGATGATGATGATGATGATTTGTTGGTTATTGATGATGTTGATGCTGTGTTGATGGTGCTAGGTTTGATTTCTTCTCTTCTCTCTTCTGTTGATGGTGCTAGGTTTGCTGTGTTGATGGTGCTGTGTGATGATTTCTTTTTCTTTTTCTTCTTTCTTCTTTCTTCTCTCTTGTGATGATGCTGTGTTGAGTCAGAAGAAGAGAAGGGAAGGAAGAAGGCAGGGGGAGGAAGAAGAAAAGAAAAAAAAAATAAAATTTCAAAACGGCGTCGTTTTGAAATTCGAGGCAGTCGAGCCCTGGGGAATTCGGGGTCTGTAGCGGGATTGATATCAGTTCCCCCTCTACTTTTTACTTACCATTATTTGTTTTTTTGCTTATAACCATTTTTTGTTGTGAAATATTATTTCACTAGAATTTTTGTTCAAAATTTTACCCAAAATTGATGTGATAGTGTCATTTGTATAACAAAAAATATGTCAATGGACTTTTTATTATAAAGTGATAGATTAAAACCCAACCAAATCATTATTAATATATTTCTTTTTTTTACTATTTTTTTTATTAATTTTACGGCCATAATTACATTTAATCTATTTTTTCAAAATTGTTAAATATGCATAAATATGTACGTTTTATTATGATAAAAAATTACTAATGATGTCTATTCATCAAATTAAAAAGTATTTACATAAATAAATTGGATAAGGACTCTTCAATCAATGTTGATTGACATAAATCTAACATAGTCTAAGTAGTTCAATCATCTCATAAAATTGAATTTTTTTTTTAAAATACCCTTACATTTTACGGTCAACTTAAATTTATCATATTTTATCAATTTATAAACCGTATTTTACTAATATGAGATTATTTTTCCTAATGTACTTACTGAAATAAATATAAAAATTTAAATATTTTATTTCATTTTTTTGCCACATCATCTTTAAAATAAAGAGAGATAGAAGATGAGTGGGAGAGACGACAAGCGACAAAAAGAGTGTTATATCACTTGACATACTATGCTAGGATGAATTATAATTACAAATTTCGTAGATAACGTAATTATACTTGACCGAAAGTATAATTTTTGTAATTTTAGAAAATTTGTTTGTTTTAATTTTACAATTTGAATTATTATATATCTATTTGTTATTTAATACTTAGGACAAAATATTAACAGTAACAAAAAAAAATAAAAATAAAAATTGTGTAACTAATGTTATGTTTGGGATGTTATTTTTCTGATTAAAAAGTCAAGAAACTAAAGAGTGCTAAAATGTGTTTGGTATGTACAAAATAAATAAATAAATAAATAAGAAGCTAAGAAATCTTTGTACCAGTTTGAAAAGACCAAACAATCCTTATGAGTAAGTGAATAGGCAAGTAAAATGAAAATTTTAAGTACTATAAGAAATAAAAATATGACATCACTTATTTGCATTTTCCTATATAATTAAAAAACTCATTCTTAAATACATTCATTTTTTTTATCTCTTAAAAAATTCAAAAAGTAACTTAAAAAAATAATTTCTAACTCTTTTTGTTAAAATAAAAGTTAAAACTTACTTAATCTTATTTATTTTTTAAATTATTTTACAAATAAATTTATCAATCATTATTTAATCCTGTGCATAGCACGGGTTATTTGCTAGTTTATAATAAACTAAATGTTAATTAAATAAGGAAACAAGGAATTATGCTAATTTCTCGTTAGACACGAAAATAAATACAAAATTATCAAAAATATAAAATTTGAGTTAAGCCCAAATCTGTATATTAGAAAGCAATAGAAATGCGCTAAAATAGACGTTGCTAAAAACAAACTTCTCAAAATAAAGATATTTCAAAAAAAAAAAAAAAACTGTTCTAAAACAGCAAAATCACTAATTTGAAGGCCTAAATGAAAGAATTTGGCTAAAATCTATTGTTTGATTTAAAACGCTGTTTTCGAGCAGACTATCAAATTTGAGATAATTCCAAACTCGTCACAAATGTATCACTACAGCTCCGATTTGTAGCTCGAATAGAGCCCCCCCGAATCCCCCGAATTTGGAAAAGGTGAGTTTTGAATGTTTGGCTCAGTTGCAATAACATTGGAGAGGAGAGGAACCACGCGCGAGAAATAGAAGAAGAAAAGAGAGGAGAGGAACCAGTTGAAGAAGAATAGGCGAGAGCGACCACCGCCGAGGTCGACCGGTGCTGACACTACCGACCTAGGTGACCATCGGCGACCAGCGAAAAACTTTGCCCACCGTCAGTGCTGTTCGTCGACCAGCGAAAAACTCTGCCCACCTGGTGCGTTTTTTGTGTTTTTTTTCTTCTGATAAATTTATATTTTTTTGTTGGAAGAATGGTTACTCACCTGAATCTGAATTTGAATCTGGTTCGTCAATCTGGTGCGAAATACCACTCCGTCAATATTTCACTCACCTAAATCTGAATCTGGTCCGTCAAGTTATAAATTTTTTTTGTTTTTCACTCACCTGAATCTGAATGTGGGGGATTAGAAGAATGGTTATCCATGTTTGGGTCTATTTGGGTAGATGATTTCAATTAAAAAATATGTTTGGGGGTCTATGTTTGCTCTTGTTGAAGTGAAATCTAAATTTGCTAAATCTGTGTGTATACTGTGGTTGGTTAATCTCTTTATCTCTTAAATTTGTAGTCTCTAATCTGTGGTTGTTTAATCTCTGTGATATTTCTAATCTGTGTGTATACAATCATGTTTAGATTTCACAAATCATGTTCTGTGGTGTTTTGGTTAATCTCTTAATCTGTGTGTATACAATCATGTTTTGGTTGGTTAATTGTTGAATCTGTCTGAATCTCTGAGTCTTGTTTAACATCCACCTGAACCTTATTTATGTGAATATGTGAATCTCTGAATCTGTGATGTCTGAATCTGAATGTAAGTGGTATTTAACATCACTGAATCTGAATCTGTGAATCTGTGATGTCTTTAACCTTATTTATGATTTGTTGTGCATTTTATTTTGCTGATTTTATACAAATTACAGTAGAGTGTTTCACATAATGGACATTGACTCAAACAATCCTACATTGAGTGGGGGTGAGGAAGTTGAGAAAGCAGAGAACAATCCTTCATTAAATGAGAGTGGTGAAATTGAAGAACCTTGAGTGGGGGTGAGGAAGTTGAGGAAGCAGAGAACAATCCTTCATTAAATGAGAGTGACGAAATTGAAGAACCTAAGAAGGGGATGTGGTTTACCTCAAAGCAAGAAGTTCACGAGTTTTATGCAAAATATGCTAAAAACCTTGGATTTGCTATAGCTTACAGAACACAGAATGTTAGATCGGATGGAAAGGTGAAATACTTTGGAATTGAATGTACTCGAGCGCAGAAGAGGACAAAAAGATCAGAAGTAAACCCCCTGAAACCATCGTTGTCATCAAAAATTGATTGTAAAGCTAAGGTAAGAGGGACTTTACAACCGAATGGAAGATATAAGTTAACTACAGTTGTGCTTGAGCATGCGCATGATTTAATTCCTAGCGACTCACGCCATTTTCCAATGAATAAGAGGATTCGTACTCTTGTGAAGAGAAGATTAGAAATAAACAATGAAGCCGGAATAGGGGTGTCTAGGAATTTTGATTCTATAGTTGTTGAAGCGGGGGGATATGAGGCATTAACATTTGATGAACGAGATGCAAGGAACCACATTCAAAATGCTAGAAGATTGAGGCTTGGGGTAGGAGATGCCGAATCAGTTGCATTTTATTTTCATAGGATGCAACAAGAAAATTCAAACTTCTATTCTGCAATTGACTTTGATGTAGATGGTCCCATACGAAACTTGTTTTGGGCGGACGCAAGGAGTAGGGCGGCTTATAAAGCATTTGGGGATGTTGTCTCATTTGACACCACCTATCTCACAAACAAGTATGATATGCCGTTTGCTCCGTTTGTAGGAGTTAATCACCATGGACAGTCAATCTTGTTTGGTTGTGGGCTATTATCTTATGAGAACACAGACACATTTGTTTGGCTATTCAAAGAATGGTTAAATTGCATGTCAGCCACTCCTCCAAAAGCTATTATAACTGACCAGTGCAGAGCCATGCAAAATGCCATACAAATTGTCTTCCCATAAGCTCAACATCGTTGGTGTTTATGGCATGTAATGAAGAAAATACCTAAGAAATTGAGAGGATATTCCGAATATGAAGCCATCAAATTCGCTTTACAAAATGCAGTCTATGATTCTTTCAAAAAAGATGAATTTGATGAGGAATGGCAAATGATGATTGAAAAGTTTAGCCTTCATAACAACGAGTGGTTTGGGGTATTATATAGTGAGCAACATAGGTGGATTCCTGCCTATGTGAAAGATATATTTTAGGCTGGCATGTCAACTACACAACGAAGTGAGAGCATGAATGCATTTTTTTGATAGCTATGTAAACTCAAAGACTACTTTAAAACAATTTGTTGAACAATACGACAATGCATTGAGAAGTATGGTGGAGAAGGAGACCAAAGCAGACTTCAAATCTCGAAACAAATTGTATGATTGCTTAACGGTGTATGAGTTTGAGAAGCAATTTCATGCTACCTACACAAATGTGAAATTTAAAGAAGTTCGAGTAGAATTGAAGAGACTACTGTATCGTCATGCGACTCTTGTGAAGGATGAGGGATCCATTTGTACATATCATGTGAAGGAAGCTGTGCTTGTGGGTGACAAAATGAAGAAAGTTGAATTTGTTGTATACTTTAATTCAACTGAATTTGAAATGCAATGTGTGTGTCAGTGGTTTGAGTTTAGGGGGATCATGTGTGCCCATTCCATTAGTGTGCTCATTGAGAGGTGCATATATGAGGTTCCAGATAAGTACATTATGCCAAGATGGAGAAAAGATTTGGAAAGAGGGTACGCATGCATTCCAACAACATACACGAAATTCGGGGCAACTCTTATTGCAAAGGTACATGATAACTACCACAAGACACTGGATGGAATTATAGAAATTACTTCCAACGATGATGGTAAACACAAAGCCATTCAACTTGGGTTGAGAGAAATCAAGGAAAGAGTAAGAAAAGATGAATCTAGTTATGCGAGTAACGTGCCACTTTCTAGTAGTACTGTCCCATCTTGTAGTAGTAATGTGCCACCTTCTAGTACTACTCGCAAGGTGCTTAGTCCTTTGGTTGCTTGCCGAAGAGGCCGTCCATGTACGAAACAGAAGGTGAGCAAGATGGATGAAATAGTGAATCGGTTGAAGGGAAAGAATAAAAAGGCACCAAAAGTCCAGGTACATTTTTTATTTTCTACTTGTATGTAAATTTCAGAATTTATTTTTTTCAAACTTTTTCACCAATGTGTGTTACTATAGGGTCGTAAGATGGGTCAATGTGAACCTCGCAAGTTGAATTTTGGTTGTACGGATGCCATGGAAGACAATATATACGATCGGGTATGTGTTTCATGGTCCATGTTGAATATTTTGTATGGTATTTATTACATTATGTTTGAACTTATCAATCATATTTTGTTATTATGTATCATAAGGTGCTGCAAGGTCAATCCTACTATTTTCCTTGTATGGATGGGACACAAGAGAGGGCATTGCAAATGGTTGACAAAATTGGAAGCTCATTTTTCAGTGAATCAGGAATGGCGAATATAGATGGTTCAACTTTTGTGGACTTGAATATAGATGTGGATCCGAACGCTCTGTTTTTTTTTTTAGTTTTTGAACTGATTTTGTAAACTTATGTACTTCACAGATTGTGCACAGGTTTTATTTGATCATGAACAGATCTGAACAGATGCTGTGAAGTTTTTGAATAGATTTTGTAAATTTATGTACTTCACAGATTCTGCACAGGTTTTATTGGATCATGAACAGATCTGAACAAATTTTGTGAAGTTTTTGAACAGATTTTGTAAACCTATGTACTTCATAGATTCTGCACAGGTTATGATGAATATGTTAACTGGTTAATTTTGAACAGGTTATGATGAATCTGTGAACATGTTACATTTTTAACAAGTTATTTGATGAATCTGTGCATTTATTTTGAACATGTTATTTTGAACAGATTCTGCAGAGGTTATTTTGATGAAGATGTGAATAGGTTATTTTGAACAGATTCTGCACATGTCCTATGTTGTTGGATTCCCATTGTGTTTTCTGATGTTGTTTTCATACTGATGAATCTGTGAACGGGTTATTTTGATACATATTATGTGTGTTTTTTCATGTTTTTCCTTTTGTTTCCCCCCTCTAATGACAGGTTGATTGTTTGATTCAGTTTTGAACAGATTATGTTCAGATTATAATTGATTCAACAGATTTTGCACAGCAGAATAAGCAGAATGAAGTACAGAAATGATCAGTCCAGAATGAAGCAGAATTGATCAGTCCAGAATAAAGTGCAGATCTGAAGCAGAATGAAGTGCAGAAAGGAAGTGCAGAACTGAAGCAGAACTGAGTAGTCCAGATTCACTGAAAGTGCAGAACTGAGCAGTCTAGAATGAAGCAGCACAGCAGAATGAAGCAGGTTGATGCAGAATGAAGTAGGATGAAGCAGGTTGATGCAGAATGATGCAGGTTGATGCAGAATGAAGTAGAATGAAGCAGGTTGATGCAGAATAATGCAGCAGAATGATGAAGTAGCACTGTTGATGCAGAATGATGAAGTAGCAGATGAAGTAGGTTGATGCAGAATGAGGCTTTGGGTTTTGTTTAGGTCTATGCTTATGTAATAGAATTAATGACTCTACATTTCAATATAATGCATTTATGGCTTTGCTACATCATTTCTCTCTATGTTTGTTGTTGTATTGTAATGCCAGAATTGCAGGTTAAATGTTGTGAATGAAAGTCTCTCTTGTTGGGTTTTGCTGTGATGTTTGTGTTTTCAGTGGCTAGTAAAGTGTAAAGACTAGAAAGAAAACTTGGGTTGAATTGAAGGCATGGTTTTGCAATTGGGTTTGTTCTTTTTGATACTCTTTTGCACTGGGCTTGGGTTTTGGTCTTGTTGTTTTGTTGTGGTTTAAGAGGATCTGATTATCAGTTATGTGTTATAATAGAAGCATTGATTCCCATTGTGTTTTCTGATGTTGTTTTCATACTGATGAATCTGTGAACGGGTTATTTTGATACATATTATGTGTGTTTTTTCATGTTTTTTCCCTTTGTTTCCCCCCCTCCAATGACAGGTTGATTGTTTGATTCAGTTTTGAACAGATTATGTTCAGATTATAATTGATTCAACAGATTTTGCACAGCAGAATGAAGTACAGAAATGATCAATCCAGAATGAAGCAGAATTGATCAGTCCAGAATAAAGTGCAGATCTGAAGCAGAATGAAGTGCAGAAAGGAAGTGCAGAACTGAAGCAGAACTGAGTAGTCCAGATTCACTGAAAGTGCAGAACTGAGCAGTCTAGAATGAAGCAGCACAGCAGAATGAAGCAGGTTGATGCAGAATGAAGTAGGATGAAGCAGGTTGATGCAGAATGATGCAGGTTGATGCAGAATGAAGTAGAATGAAGCAGGTTGATGCAGAATGATGTAGCAGAATGATGAAGTAGCACTGTTGATGCAGAATGATGAAGTAGCAGATGAAGTAGGTTGATACAGAATGAGGCTTTGGGTTTTGTTTAGGTCTGTGCTTATGTAATAGAATTAATGACTCTACATTTCAATATAATGCATTTATGGCTTTGCTACCGCATTTCTCTCTATGTTTGTTGTTGTGTTGTAATGCCAGAATTGCAGGTTGAATGTTGTGAATGAAAGTCTCTCTTGTTGGGTTTTGCTGTGATGTTTGTGTTTTCAGTGGCTAGTAAAGTGTAAAGACTAGAAAGAAAACTTGGGTTGAATTGAAGGCATGGTTTTGCAATTGGGTTTGTTCTTTTTGATACTCTTTTGCACTGGGCTTGGGTTTTGGTCTTGTTATTTTGTTGTGGTTTAAGAGGATCTGATTATCAGTTATGTGTTATAATAGAAGCATTTAGCTCTTGTTTATTTGAAATGTTTTTCATTGCCCATATAGGTTTACTGGCTGAGTTTTGGCATTGCTTGGTTTGGTTAATTATCAGCTGGATTTGGGCAAGTAATATCACTGACATGGTAATTTCCATAACTGCTACAGTGCTACTCCTGTAGAATGTTGGTTTGATGGTTCTCTTCAACAAAACAGCACACCACATATCTTTCTGGGCCTATGATGCATGATTCTCACATAAAAATTGAAAATTTTAAACATGGTTTTGCTATTCCATGGAACAATATCAAGAATGAGCAACATTCTAACCTTTATGACAACAAGGAGTTAGGAGAGCTAGAAGCATGTAATTCTATAAAATGAGCAACACACACACTGGACTAGTCTAGAAAACATGTAATTCTATAGTCTGGTCTCCAGTTAGCTCCTTTACCTTGACATCATAATTCAACAAGTCCATTATAGAAATTCAATAAATTCAACATGTCTGGTATTGAACTATCAACAAATCCATTCAATCCATAGAAGTCCATTCAAGAAATTCAACAAGAACTTCAACAAGAAATTCAACCTATCAACAATTATTGAAAATAGAAGTCCATTCAAGTCCATTCAATCCATAAGTACATCCATAAAATCCATTCCATCAATAAGTACATCCATCAAATTCCCCAACAGTTATGAACTCAGTAATTTACATTATAAAATAGAAAACAATACAAAATACAATGACATAAAGCAGGACATTCAATTTCTTCTCCATCATTCGAAGCCTTCTAGCATGCTCTTGAAATTCATTATCCATCTCATAAACTCTTGTGCTTAGATCGTTAAATTCTTCGTTTCATATAGATGTACGAGGTGCAGCATTGGAGATCACGTCATCATCGTCATCATCATCTGCGAACTTGAAGTAATTGCAGTGTTCCTCACTAATCTGCAATGCATGACAATCAGTTAATCAAATCAGGGTAATAAATTTGCAAACAAATTTCAATACTGCTTACATATCTTGATGGACACAAAAAGTACACACGCCCTTTATTTCCATTCTGATTGGTTTGGACAATGTGAATGGCAGCTGTTCTCCCACAATCACACAATCTTGGATTCAATCTTATGTTGCTATTATTACTAGAGGAAGAAGCCATTTTTGTAATCTGCATACAAAATGCAACATAAATGTTATAGGTTCGTCTGTTGGGTAGCAGCAACTATAAGCACGAACCCACAAACAGAACATAAATGTTATATGGCATCAGGTAAGTCAAGAATGATAGAACCTTAACTACAAAGCGAATATTTCAGTCTAAAACAAATAAGGACAAATTTGTGTGGAACTTTATTATATCATGCAACAATGGGTTTTGTGAGAAGACAAGCTAGTCCTGTGAATCACCTATGTCACACACAATATCAGAATATTTAAACAAGGGGAGAACTTCAAATCCTAGGAGGTCAGAAAACAGAATGAAGAATATCCAAAATTAGACAGTTTCTTCTCCCCAAGTTCTCTAGTGATATAGAACACAATTCCTAATCTTCACTAGAAGTGGAAGCCAAAGAATATTGTGAATAACCAAATGGAATGAATCATGCCCGTAAAGTCAACCACAAATCCATTACTCTTTACACAAATAACACCACCAATTATGCAGAAATTGCCAAATCATGCCCGTAAAGTCAACCACAAGTTTCTCATTATACGCTTATACAAGAAAATACAACTTCCAACCAAATAATTGTATGAGTATCTCATAAGACACCTTCAACACAAAAAAGGACACCATCGATAATGGTTTACATATGCCAAACCCTTTTCCAATTAGCCAACTCTCTCAAATTCTTGCCAACATTTTGTAAAAAGATTGCTCCTCAAACCTGCTAGCCATAGAGGCAACCATGCTAAAATCCCATCATTCCCAGCCTTACAATCAAGTGTAAGCTTAATTTAGTTTACAATCAGTTCTAAGGTAATTTATTAGACTAATCTAATTTTCAAAAGTTATCAGTTGGGATGGCTGACCTAGATGATCAACATAACCCTAACAATCATTAATGTTATTAGACTACACATTCAACATAACAATCAACATAACCCTAACAATCATTAATCAACATAACCCTAACAACCATTAATGTTAACAGATTTTCATACATTTCGGTAGCATTTACCATGTTAACATTCCACCATGTTTTTACACAACTGAATGACACATTCAACATAATAATCAAAAAATGAAGGCAAAACCCATAATGCCCAAACCCTAACAAACAATCATAACCCTAACAATCATTCATTGACAAATCATGTTCTACAAATTCAAGCCAAAACCAAAACCCTAAATTAGGCTTACACTTGCGATTATGGGTTTACCAAAAATGTTCTGGTACCTTTTTTTTCTGCTATTCGACACTGTCGAATCCACACCCGTAGCACCCAAATCTGTTATGCGAGTCCACCTGTAGTTGATGAGAGGATTTGGAAGAGATTAAGGGCTCCAGGAGAGAGTAAGTAGAGTGAGATGAGAGGATTTGGAAGGAGAGAGTGAGTAGAGAGAGAAGAGATTAAGGGCTCGAATGGAGTCGACTCTGAGGAAAGAAAGAAAGAAAGAAAAAAAAATTCAAAATCGAAACGACATCGTTTCAGTAATTCGGGGGATTCGGGGGGAAGTTTTTCGAGCTACAAAACATTTTTGTGTATCAGTCACTATTATCCTCAACAAAAATGTTTTGTAGCTCGAAAAACTTCCCCCCGAATCCCCCGAATTACTGAAACGACGTCGTTTCGATTTTGAATTTTTTTTTTCTTTCCTCAGAGTCGACTCCATTCGAGCCCTTAATCTCTTCTCTCTCTACTCACTCTCTCCTCACTCTCTCCTTCCAAATC